CACTACCGCACACTGAGCAGATGTTTTCAGAGAACTATCCATGATGACTCCAAGGTCTCCGAGTGGTAACAGTTAATTTAGGCCTTGGCTACACTTACCCGCTAGTTCGACGACTGGAAAACGAACTTCCGGGTTCGACTTATCGCGTCTAGTCTGGACGCGTTAAGTCGAACCCGGAAGTGCTCGCCGTCGACTGCGGTACTCCAGCTCGGCGAGAGGAGTCCTGCGGAGTCGACGGGGGAGCCTGCCTGCCGAGTGTGGACCAAGGTAAGTTCGAACTAAGGTACTTCGACTTCAGCTACGTTATTCACGTAGCTGAAGTTGCGTACCTTAGTTCGAATTAGGGGGGTAGTGTAGACCAAGCCTAAGGCTAATCAGCCCTCACAATTGGGCTGCCCATCTTAGTGGCAGGAGTGTGCATGTTTTCCTTTTCAGGTTGCCTACATCAGGACCAGTAGAATCATCATCACACCAGGATTTTCTCCTCAGAGGATGCCTTAGAGTCCTCTCCTGTGGCTTTACACAGGATTGCAGGTCCTAAGCAACCAAACCCTTCCCCCCCATTGACTGATGACAGTGCTTGAACTATGAAGAAGGTTACTATAATCAGACTTTTTCTTCAATTACCTACCTTGCTGTCTATGATTTGGCCTAAGGGTTTGTAAGGGGCTGGCTTCATGCCACCTATTGTAATCACTGTAATTGAATTGTTTTCCTCTCACCCCATTTTCCCTTATCCCATATACCAATCCCCACAATACACTTGCTCCTGTTTGTATCAATGTACTACGATTCCTCGTTATTTCCAGAACCTACAGGTGATAGATACTGAGAACAGAAAAATGAATAGTAAATTTATAGGGTTTATGTCTGCATCTTTCTTTCATTTTTCCCATCCTATCAATAAGTAAAGGTAGAACAGTATGGACTAGCACTGTGCATACCCAGGGTCTGTGTCAGACCTGTACTATCCCCCCTGAAGCCTGCACTGTGCTAGTTGGATTCAAACTAGTTCGGGTAAGCTACTCTGTGCACAGCTTTTGCTGTATAGTCATAAGAATGACCATACTGGGTCAGACCAAACGTCCATCTAGCCAGTGATGGATCTATCCTCCATGCATGTATCTAGTTCTTTTTTGAACCCTATTATAGTCTTGGCCTTCACAACATCCTCTGGCAAAGAGTTCCACTGATTGACTGTGCATTGTGTGAATAAATACTTCCTTGTGTTTGTTTTAAACCTGCTGCCTATTAATTTCATTTGGTGCCGCCTAGTAATATGTGTTATAGTCATACTCTATCTCTTTGTACCTCAGTTCCCCATCTGTAAAATTGGGATAATGATAGTTCCCTATCATCCATGGGTGTTGTGAGGATAAATGCATTAAAAGCCAAAGTGTTAGACACTGTTGATGGAGGTTATGTAAGTACCTAGAATAGGCAGATAGAGGAGAGAAAAACATTTAAAAAACCAGGACAATGTGATTGCAAGCCCTGATAATTTTTGTGATTTGACAGGGGCAGGTGTAATACTTGATTCTACTCTTAACTCATATTTTGAAAATGACTATATTTCAAGACAACTGTGTCCTTGAATGGTGAGACTCTCTTGAAAGAATCTGCCACGCTGCTGCCTTTGTTTTTGCCATGAAGTTTTGGCTGTAGTTTTGCACCACAGGTTAGAATGTGTACTAGGCTGGAACCACATTCCAGAGTCCAGGGGTCTTCACAGAAAATTGCTCCCATTTATAAAGTGGGGACTCCAGATTAAGCATTATTGCTAACTGCAGCACGAGAGGAGTTCTCTCAATTATCCATTTAGGGATAAAAGGTCCATGCTAAAACCATAATTTCCACCCAAAAATTCATGGGTAGCCAGAGCAGATACCAGAGCACCACCATTTTGCACTCCTGGCCTCAGTAGGCAAACTGATAAATGCTGCATCTATTCGGTTGGAATGGTTTTAGCGTACAATAGCCTACTCTTTAGGTGATAAAGTTGTGGGTAGATAAAGTGTTACCAGTTCAATAACAAAAATAAATAGTCACTCTCTCCTTATCCAACTAAAGTGACTTCACTAAAGTAGCCATAGGTCTAACCATACCCCTAAACTGTAAAGTTGAGGCCAGGTCTGCTCTAAACTTAAATCACTATAACTGTGTTCCTCAGAGGTGTGAAAAGTCCTGTCGATATAGCTACTGCTTCTCATGGAAGTGAATTAACTATGATGACAGGAAAAACTCTCCTGTTGGCATAGTAGCGTCTTCACTGAAGAC